TGGGAACTGGAGCCAAGTCTGCCTGTGTCCAAAGCCCACACTCTTAGCCTCTCCACTGTAAGGCTGCTTTTTAAAGATGGTTCCAGGAAAGTCCAGAAAAGCACAGGGAGAAGTTTCAGGGCAGAGCACACCAGGGACACAGGGATGGTTCGGCTGTCAGCAGGATGTGGGCAGCCAGTCCGGGTTCAGCCAGGGCACCCCGGGTGGGCAGCCTCACTGAGTTTCCTCCCTGTGGACTCCAGTCTTTGGGCTGCCATCACCTGTTCTCTGTCCTCTTGGATCCCACACTGCAGATACCTGAAGAATGGAAAACCAGTGTGATTTTCTTAGGATCCCGAGGGAGGCCACAGCGCAGGTGTCCTGTCTGCCCTGCGACATCCACAAGGGCCCAAGCTGACAGGGTCAGCGCTGGAGTTTTAACTCCTAAGTCCTTAGGACCTCTTTTCTGTGAGTGATTGGAAATTTCTTTGCAATAAGCACCCTAAGATTTGGTGATATTAAAAAAATTAATAACCAACTGTAAGTAATGGATCTATTAACAGGCAATGTGACTAAACATCTCAGTTATAGATAGCTCGTGGTCTCTGGGAAAACTATTTTGTCTTCTGTTACTTTTTTTTTTTTCTCATAATGGGTTTTAAATTGTTTTTTTGCCGGGCGTGGTGGCTCACGCCTGTAATCCCAGCACTTTGGGAAGCCGAGGCGGGTGGATCACGAGGTCAAGAGATCAAGACCATCCTGGTCAACATGGTGAAACCCTGTCTCTACTAAAAATACAAAAAGTTAGTTGGGCATGGTGGCGCGTGCCTGTAATCCCAGCTACTCAGGAGGCTGAGGCAGGAGAATTGCCTGAACCCAGGAGGCGGAGGTTGCGGTGAGCCGAGATCGCACCATTGCACTCCAGCCTAGGTAACAAGAGCGAAACTCCATCTCAAAAAAAAAAAAAAATTGTTTTCTTATATAGTCATTCCTTATTGTACATGGATACTCAGTTCCTGCATATGTTAAAAATTTGCCCTCTTTATTTGGTTGAAAAAAATCTGCATATGAGTGGACGGACCCTCAAAGTTCAAACCTGTAGGTGGTCTTCCCTCCTCAGAAATCCCACAGAACAATTTTATTTTAAATGCCTGAAGACTGTGCTTATGTTCCCTCAACCCCCAGTCCTGCATCTATTTATCATGTGACATAATGTTGAGCTTCCCCTCCATCTTGGTCACCATCAGGGATGGAGAAGGGACACAGTGAGAGCAAGAAGAGGGAGTCAAAGAGATTATTCACAGGTGCTTGCAGGTGCACACAGGAAAGAGCCACCCAACCCACCAGAACCCCATGCTCCAGATCAATTGCTTAAAAACATCGGCCTGGGAGAGGCCCAGTCATTCTGTAACTGTCTCAGAATATCAGTCCCAGCCACCAGAAAACACAATGTGGACAAGGAATAGAGCGAAGAGATGGCATTTCCGGTGAGTCTAAAGGTTCGGCGATGGTCTGTCTCATGAGGCAATCATTCAGTACATTTGTTGAGTCAGCAATCATTTATTGCATACTAAGCACGTGATGTGTAAGGTGAAGCAATTTGGATGGTTTTCTACTCTCACGGAGCCCATTAATAACTGACATACTCAACTACTTATCCAAGGGGTTTCACCTGATGCCAAACCAGCAGGACACGAAGCCTGCCTTTCACGAGAGGGCCTCTCACAGTGTCTTCCAGCTTCTGCTGTGTGTCATGTACCGATGTCCTCCAGACAGGTATATGCTTCCGCACAGCTTTGGGCTTCCCCAACCTATGACTTCCATTCCAACTCCCTCTTCCGGGCAATCCTCTTCTTGATGACTTCTCAATTCCCTAAACTCCTCAGCATCTGAAACTTCCTCCTTCACTCTTTTCCCATACCATAGCTTGTGCCTGGTCATCGTCCAGAACAGGTTCTCTGAAACCTCAAGCACTTCTCTCCAAATCTCTGAACAACTTCCTATATCTTGAATTTTCTAAGACTCTCCTTTTCCCCAGCACTTCCTCACTGAGGTTCCCTTTCCCAGAACTTATTTCTGTTTTCACTTTTCATCAGCCCACGTCCTGATCTTCTCTAGCCTCATCTACCCCTTGGGTGGGTCCCTCAGCTTGAACTCTGTGGCTTTATGAGCCTTCCACACCAGCCTTCTGAATGCAGCCTGAGAAGATCCCACAACTGGGCATGTGGATGCTGCTTACAAATGGAAGTTTTTCTACCCGATGCTGAAAATAGATAGTTTACTTGTCTTTTTTCAGTCTTCCTTTCCTTTTAGTGATTATTTCGGAACTTTACCACTTTTTAGAAGCTCCCAACCAATACAGCCTCCTTGCTCATGTTAAGTTACTTTTATCCCCCAAACACAGTCGCTTTCAGGTAGGTTCTTCTGCCTCCTATTTAAGTCCTTCTCTGCTCTCTCTGGTGCAGTGGTCTTTTAATGGGTCTTAACAACCCATTACTGGTCTTCTCCATTTCCATTCCTCCTCAGTGCTGCAGCCAAAATACACACCTCATATGTGTAACACCCTCCCGTGGCTTCCTGGGTCCTGTGGGATAATATCCTTCCTGGCTGAAAAGCTTCCTTTTCCTTTCTTCATGTTCTCTCACCCATTAATAAAACACTATATTGGGGGGAAATTTTTCGTTTTTTTTCTCCTCTTCCTTCATTCAATTTTCCACATGGAATGGGGAAAAATATATTTCTGAATCATGAAGCCTGTTTTGGCTAGTGGGTTTGTCTGCCCTCAGGCCACACAAAGTCTTTTTTTTGCCGAGGGTAAACTCAGTCCTGCACATCTGGCTCCTAAAGAAAGAGGGTACTATAATCCCAGCACTTTGGGAGGCCGAGGCGGGTGGATCACGAGGTCAAGAGATCGAGACCATCCTGGTCAACATGGTGAAACACCATCTCTACTAAAAATACAAAAATTAGCTGGGCATAGTGGCGCAACTTGTAATCCCAGCTACTCAGGAGGCTGAGGCAGGAGAATTGCTTGAACCCACAAAGCGGAGATTGCGGTGAGCTGAGGTCACGCCATTGCACTCCAGCCTGGGTAACAAGAGTGAAACTCTGTCTCAAAAAAAAAAAAAAAAAAAAAAAGAAAGAAAGAAGGTAAATGCATAGCATCTTGGATCCCAGTGGCAGTCCAGTATAGCTTCATCAACAGTAAAGCTGATATTTCTGTGCCTGTTACTGTGTCACTTCAAAATCTAGAGAGGAAAGGACGTGAATAGTTAGTACTTACAAACCCATTCATAGTAGATGCTCCATTATCTGGCTCTTGTTGCTACTTGTGTATCACTTTTCAACATCAATAACCCCTGGTCCCTGATCACCAAGCAGGCTGTGATCCGGTCATTCCAGACTACCTGTGGTTCCTTAAATAAGTAATGCTGTTTCACTTGTCTGCATATGCATAGCAAAGTCTTTTCCTGTTTTGACTCTCAACTCATCCTAAACTCCTGCTCAAGTATCATCATTGCTGTGAAGTCTTCTCTGATTAGCTCCAAACAGAGTAGCCGTTTCCTCCAAAGTTTTATTTCGTTTTATTTCTTCTTCTTTTTTTTTTTTTAGAGATGGGGTCTCACTCTGTCACTCAGGCTAAGTGCAGTGGCCTGATCATAGCTCATTACAGCCTCAAACTCCTGGGCTCAAGCAATCCTCCCATCTCAGCCTCCCAACGTGCTGGGATTACCGATATGAGCCACCTCGCCTGGCTGCCAAAGTTCCTTACACTTTTCTCTCTCTTTTTTTTTTGAGATGGAGTTTCACTCTTGTCACTCAGGCTGGAGTGCAATGGCGCGATCTCAGCTCACCGCAACCTCCGCCTCCCGGGTTCAAGCAATTCTCCTGCCTTAGCCTCCCGAGTAGCTGGGACTACAGGCGTGTGTCACCATGCCCAGCTAATTTTTATATTTTTAGTAGAGACAGGGTTTCACTATGTTGACCAGGATGGTCTCGATCTCTTGACCTCGTGATCCACCCGCCTGGGCCTCCCAAAGTGCTGGGATTACAGGCGTGAGCCACCGCGCCCGGCCACTTTTCTCTCTTAACAGCAGGTTCCACATGCTATTGCAATTAGTAGACCATATACTTTTACAGCACAAAACTATCCCTTGTTCCTTCATGTACTGAATCCACCCATCACATTGCCTGGCATTCACGAGTGCTTAAAAACTTTTCATTGAATACTATATTAAGTAAACAAAGAAACGCAGGATTAAAAATGAACGCCAGCAATGAACCAAGCCTTCTGCTGAGTGACCTGAATATTACAAAGAAGCAAAGATGTCTCACTGTAGAGGAATGATTACTCTGCGTGGAATGTGGGAATTACGTTAGCATATGAAACCGACTGCTTGATGGAGTAGAATAGCTCCTGAAGCGTAGGAGTGCTTAATAATAAAGCAAGGCAGAGGGGCCTGAGAAGGTCTTACTGCTCAATCTCTGTCCATCATACCTGAGACCTATAGGCAGCCTGAGTTCAATGATCACGACGTCCCTCACCTCAGGGATCTGTTTCCACCCAGCTTCCAAAGATGGGCATCACCAGCACAAGCTGAGAAGAAGAACAGATCTGTATGTTGGACCCTCTGCTTAGCACTGAGAAAGCTGGCTTGAAGCCAGTAAAGCTGGGCCTAAATGCAGAGATTGGCACCTTGACACTGGATTATGGTTTATGGGATGTGCCTCCAAGGGCAACTCTGCACTTACCCTATGGCCTCTGGCTTCCATATTTCCTAGGCACTTCCTTCTGGAGTAAAGGAATCAAAAGCGGCCTACTTCCCCTGCCAACCATCCTCGGACACTAAGTACTGACTCGTCTTCTACTGGGAGATGGCCATATTTCTGGCACCTGCCTTTCCTTGTGGTAGGTCTTTCCTTTGTTTACATAGCAAAGGGGCTGAAGCAGAGATGGATGGAGCTGGACTTACAGCAGAACCGAGTCATGGCAGCCTGCTTTTGTTTCATTTTCAGCATCTTTCTGCCAGTTCTGGCCACCTCCCTTCCTCTGGAACGTGCTGATTTCAGCAAGTCCAGCTCTGTCAGTTCTGTCCCCTGAGTCTGTTGGTTTCTGGTCATCTTATAATACTTTGGCTGCACTCAGGACCTGTCTTTGTCCCTCCTCTTAACATACTTGCAGCCAAAACTAAATATTGCTGCTTGGGGGGCCTCCTCCCAGCCTTAAATTTCAGCTCATCGTCTTCGGCTGCGTTGGTCATGGCTCTGCTATTCTCCTTGATTCTCAGTGAGTATCTCTGCACCTGTTGGTTTAGGCTTCAGAATTTTCTAGAACTTTGATTAGGAAAACTGTCTCCCTGCCAACCTGGAACAGATTCAGATGTTTTTCAAGGATGAGCTTCTCCCTCCTTTCTACATCTGGTAACTATTCTATTCCTTAAAAAGCCACTTAACCCATACCCATTTGTAGTTCAGGTTATCAGTTTTTTTTCTATTTTGCTATGTTTGTAATGACAGATTTATGATAGCTTATCCATTTCTCTTTTTACATAAGTTTTCCTGAATGTACTATTAGAAGACAAATGAATGGGCACTGGGTAGCAGCAGGTAGAGCCAGGAAAGGAGTTAGAACTGCAAAAATAATCGCGTTTCATTGGTCATGTTGTCTGTTTTCCTCTTAAAAGTGTTTCATACAATGCTCTTCCAGGTTTCTTCAGTTTCTCATTGCTTAGAGTAATCTAGAGATTAATCTGGTGAATCTGGCGACTGTGGAGCCAAAGAGACCTGGTTTTCCATCCTTCCTTTTGATTTCTTAGCTGTCTGAATTTGTAGATTATCCTATCTCACTGAAATCTTGCTCTCTTATCTATGAAGTGAGGAGAATATTATGTTCCTCAGAGGATTGTAGGAGCATTTTTTTTTTTTACAAGATAACTAATGTAAAGTATCTAACAATGCCTGGTAAATCCCTATGCTAATCAATCACATCCCCTTTTTTTTTTGAGATGGAGTTTCGCTCTTGTTACCCAGGCTGGAGTGCAATGGCATGATCTTGGCTCACTGCAACCTCTGCCTCCTGTGTTCAAGCAATTTTCCTGCCTCAGCCTCCTGAGTAGCTGGGATTACAGGCACGCGCCACCATGCCCAGCTAATTTTTGTATTTTTAGTAGAGACGGGGTTTCACCATGTTGACCGGGATGGTCTCGATCTCTTGACCTTGTGATCCACCTGCCTCTGCCTCCCAAAGTGCTGGGATTATAGGCGTGAGCCACCACGCCCGGCCCCAATCACATCCACTTTTATGTCTCGATGATCTAGTGCATCACCGAAGCCCACACAAACCTCTCAATAGGACACTTTTGTGTTCAATGTAAGGTACTGACCACGTCTTAAACATCCATGCATCCCCCACAGCATCCACGGTGAGTCCTGCCCTTCATGGATGTACTACTGGGTCTTCCAGGCTCATCTGCGCTCGCACCTCCTTCCTAGAGCCTTTCTGGTCTGTGCCTTCTGCAGTTACCCAACCTACTGCAGAGCTTCCAAGTCGCTTCCTGGCTATATCACTTTCGTACCTGCGTATCAGGCTTGGCATGCACACCGTCCTTCACAAGTACACATGTTGGGGCGAGGGTAACGCATTATTCCCATGTGTGTAATAGAACCTTGAGTTTTAGACAGTTGAAGAGAAAGCCTCATTGAGTCTGAGAGTGGCCACATTCTGAAGATTAAGGGAATGAGGCTAATGAGAAGTTATTTGGAAACCAAGAAAAGAAACTATTCCAGGATAAACCACTGAACTACTTGAATGAAAAGCTGTGGGCTGGAGGTCCAAAGATATTTTCTCCTTTTGAAACTTCCTATAAGATGGGGGTGGTGGGTGAGTTTTGCAGCTGCAAATGCATAGGCCTGAGGGACTCCGGGAGGTTACAGGGCTCAGGACTCTCTACAGCATTAGGAGGGAACTTACAGAGAGAGGAGTCCAAACATGGGGGAAGAAACCCCCATGTTTTAAAGATAGGCCGGTGTTAGAATCTGGAGGTTTGGAACTGCATGTACAACCACTTTCTGAGCTGTTCCTCTAAATCAGCTAAAACAGCGTGTAAGTTGACAATGATGTTTACTTTTTAAGTGGTAGGAAAAAAGAAAAATAATATTTTATGACACATGAAAACGACAGGAAATTTAAATTTCAGTGTCTAATAAAGGTTTATTAGAACATAGCCATACTCATTTGCATACACATATGTGGCTGTTCTCATGCTACAATGGCAGAGCTGAGTGGCTGCAGCAGAGACTGCATGGCCCACAAAGCTGAAAAGATTACTGTCTGGCCCTTCACAGTAAGAGTTTGCTTATTGGTCTAAATGCTGTGCCAGTGCACACAGGTGAATCCTGCCCCTTTCCCCTGCTTTCGGCACTGCCCACCATGGCATCTTTACCTTCCTTGACCTCCAGCTTCCCCGTGGCCTCCAGCATTCTTTTCTGTTAGGCCTAGAGGCTGCCTCACCACACTTTTACTTCAGGCAGTAATAACCAATCTAATTGGCCAGAATAGAAAACCAATCTATCCACCATCACGCATGAAGGAAGCAGGCTGAACCAGTTAGCTGTGGTAGAACTGGTCTTTGGTTTCCTGCCAGTGTCCCTGTGGTCTGGTCATCCCAGCAGAAGGTCCCAACAGAACTGACCTTGGAGGCTGTGCATCAACCACTCTGTCTCACATGGCTCTGTGAAGGCCTTCTAGAGGTCACGTTCTTTGAATAAAGCCTTGGAAACTGACCTCACTATTTCCTTCTTTCTTCCCCAGCCGTTTGCATCAGACCTGGATTCCTAGGTAAGATTTTCTGGGGTTTCTGAGAGGGAGGCCTCCAAGCTCAGGAGAGGGGAAAATTTGAAGCTTCTTGAACCACAGAGAAAGACTGGTTCAAAACAGGCCCAGGAGACTTCCTTTCTGGTTTCCTGCCTCACCCATTCAGTCTTGTGTGGGCAGATTGCCACCTCCAGAATTTAGAAGGGTTTTGGGTGGTTTACCCTGGCAGGGCACCTCTCCCTATTTGGTTTCTGTGGTCACTCGGCCTGCATCCCAGTAATAGCTAGGTTCATTTTAGGTCTAGAATGCACTTCACTGCCTTATGAACATACCTGAAAAATGAACTTCCTTTTGGTTTCTTCTCGTTACGTTTCCAGCATATCCGGGTCTCCCTGCCAGGCTTAATGGTATTTTTGAATTGAAATGCACTGTTGCTTATAGCACATAGCTTGGCCAGCAGAGTAGAGACTGGATTTCCTGATCAGGGAGTCTTTGGGTAGTGCACACATTGTAAATCCAAGGGGTGGGTGAAAGAATGAGTCTATAGGAGAGGGAGGCTACGGGTTGTGGATGATCAGTTTCTTTACATTAATCCCCCTAGTCTCCCCTTCTGCTTGATCGTATAGACTTCACCAGAGAGGGACAGCTACAACCATTGCTACTGGTGGGGAGAATCCTATACCCTGATGGATGCAATTTGGTTCCCATTGAAGAAATGCTGCTTCTGGGTTCTCATCTTGACATTCAGATTATTCTTTTCTTTTGTTTATTGATGTTCCCTGAGTTCACTAAAAAAGTCAGAAACGTAGTACACACCTAACAAATGTTTGCTGTCTGAGAGGCTCTTTTCTGGTCTCCCCACACAGCCATCTCTACCCTCCTTGCATGTCTTGGTGGAAGGAAGATCATTTCTGTTAGTCTTTCCTTTTTTTTTCTTTTTCATTTCTTTCTTTCTTTTTGAGATGGAGTCTTGCTCTGTTGCTCAAGCTGGAGTGCAGTAGCATGACCTCAGCTCACTACAACCTCCAACTCCTGGGTTCAAGTGATTTCTGACTAATTTTTTTTTTTTGTAGAGATAGGGTTTCACCATGTTGTCCAGGCTGGTCTCGAACTCCTGACCTCAAGTGATACACTTGACTTGGCCTCCCAAAGTGCTGGGATTACAGGCATGAGCCACCATGCCCCATCTCTGTTAGTCTTTTCTATTTCCAGAGTTCTAGTCATGAAACTGAACCAAGTCCTAGATTTCTCACAACTTATCTGGAGGCTCTGTGGATCCTCTCTTCTGTTTCTAGTCCCTAGAATTAGACTAAACTCTTGGGGCTCTGGGACTCTGACTCTTCCCTTTTCCAGTGCTCTGTGTTTCTCTGTAATTGCACTTGAACAAGGAACAATTTCATAGGAAGCAGCAAGGGTGGGCATGATGGGCCACTGATAGTGAGAGAGAGTTAGGTTGTTCAGCCTAAATTACAGATACTCTGCCTCAGTCTGGCTGCCATGGAGAGAGACAGTCATGAAGAAGAAAAACACAACAGATATTCTCTTTACACGTCTGTTCTGGCCTGGGGCTTCCACTTTGATCATAAGATCTACCCCATTATTTCACAGATGAGGAAAATTGATGGAGCACATGCCTATGAACCTCTGAGCTCCTCTCAGGTCTCCAGCTAACAACCTGTCTCTTTGCAGAGTCTCCATCTAGAGTGAGGCTGGTGGAGGGCCCCCACCGCTGTGAAGGGCGGGTAGAGGTGCAAAAGAAAGGCCAGTGGGGCACTGTGTGTGATGACGGCTGGGACAAAAACGAGGTGGCTGTGTTGTGCCGGGAGCTGGGCTGTGGAGATGCCAACGGAACACCCAGCGGTTATTTATATGGGCCACCAGCAGAAAAAGAACAAGCGGTCCTCATCCAAGAGATCAGATGCACAGGAACAGAAGATACATTGGCTCAATGTGAGCAAGAAGCAGCTTATGATTGTTCACATGATAAAGATGCCGGGGCCTCGTGTGAGAGTGAGTATATGATGCGGCTCCGGGACCATTTGCCAGCTGCCACACCCATTGTGGCCACTCTCATTGGTCTTCATTCCCCACCATAGACTTTCACACAAAGGCTAATTGGTACCTTGCCCCCACATCTCATACTTTATGGATTGTTAGTGCCGGAGATAAACATTCTCACTTAAAACTGCGACTCCAAGTTGATTGAACAAATGCCTTTTATCTTAGTTTCAATCTATATGAGAACCTGTTTCACTTATTTACACACATGCAACATGTACACCACTAAATATCTGTTTAATAGAGTATCCTGTATCTAAAGCTGGGCATGGAGTTATGGGGAAAGAAATGAGCTCACAAAGTATAATGTATGCTTTTTACAAAACAGTTTCAGTTTTCCAGGAGTTTATCTTCTAGTCAGGTGGACAAGAGTTACTCATAGGAAACTAACACAATCTAACAGACAGGTGGATAGATGAGAGAGAGACACAGAGACAAATAGATCTGTGCTCCTTTCATTCTCTCCATATACTTGCTTTCTATGTATGAATAGTCTCTTCTCTTTTGTCCATTAGACAGTGATGTGACTGAGGAGCTAGTCCATGTCTCCTCTTTCTTTGTCTCCCCACAGAATTTGTTTCTAGAGAAACAGTCACCGTTTGCCTTGACACTGAAGACTCAGTCCTATTTTTCAGAAAGACTGAGGGCTGGGAGCACTAATCTGAGATATTTAGTTCCCAATGCCAATGATGAACCAAGAAGCGTTTGGTGTTGAACGTATCTTGTATGTTAGGATTGTATTTATTTTTAAAAATCTGCACAGGATCTCTTGTGAGGAACAAATGACAAGCTGGACGTGAAAACAATTTGAAAAATTAAAATGCCACGGAAATGATAATGATTCAGCTTGGAATTTGGAAACTACATTTTCTTCATTGATTCACTCATTCGTTCTTTCAGCAGGCATCTATGAGGCAGCATTAAGCACTTTAGCATGCCTTGTACCGAACACGAAGAACTGAGAGATGTGTCCATTGGCTCCCCTTTACTGAGAAGACCATGTTCTGGCAGGGAACAGACATATTCTCTTTCTTTCTCTCCAGACCCAGAAAGCTCTTTCTCCCCAGTCCCAGAGAACATCAGGCTGGCTGATGGCCCTGGGCACTGCAAGGGACGCGTGGAAGTGAAGCACCAGGACCAGTGGTATAGCATGTGCCAGTCAGACTGGAGCCTCCGGACCGCAAAGGTGGTGTGCCGGCAGCTGGGATGTGGGAGGGCTGTACTGACGAAGAAACGCTGCCACAAGCCTGCCCAGGGCCGAAGACCCATCTGGCTGAGCCAGATGTTATGCTCAGGACGAGAAGCAACCCTTCAGAATTGCCCTTCTCGGCCTTGGGGGAGTAACAGCTGCAACCATGATGGAGACACATGGGTTGAATGCGAAGGTAATGCCTGTGCGTCCAGGGGCTAGGTTTACTCATGGATTTGATTATGTGGAATCTCATTCAAACAGTATTTACAAAGAGCTACTCATGCGCCAAAGTACCATTGCAAACTTCTTTAATTGGACAGATGAACAATTCTTTTTTTTTTTTTTTTGAGACAGAGTTTCGCTCTTGTTACCCAGGCTGGAGTGCAATGGTGCGATCTCAGCTCACCGCAACCTCCACCTCCTGGGTTCAGGCAATTCTCCTGCCTCAGCCTCCCGAGTAGCTGGGATTACAGGCACACACCACCATGCCAAGCTAATTTTTTGTATTTTTAGTAGAGACGGGGTTTCACCATGTTGACTGGGATGGTCTCGATCTCTTGACCTCGTGATCCACCCACCTCGGCCTCCCAAAGTGCTGGGATTACAGGCTTGAGCCACCGACAATTCTTTTTTTTAAATGAAGATAATAATCCCACCTTTGTATCTGAAAATGCTGTAAATATTAAGTACTATATTCATATGAACTCTTATTATTTTGAATCCTATATTACACAAACAAGGTACATCTTTCCATGTATCTGTTAAGTTCTTCAATTTCTAAAACTTACTAGAATGTCATTTATAAGTGTTAGATTTATAAAATAGATGGGGAAGTGAAAAGACCCTTGTGAGGGAAGTCAAGCCTGATGGAGACTAGAGAAGGAGTTCTAATCACAGAAACACGTGGAGAGTTTCAAGTGTGCTGATGGGGTTTGGTGAGGATGTAGGGCTTCTTCTTGGCCAGGTCCAGTGGCTCACGTCTATAATACCAGCACTTTGGGAAGCCAAGGTGGGAGGAGCACCTGAGCCCATGAGTTTGAGACTAGCCTGAGCAACATATAGAAAACCCTGTCTCCTTAAAAAAAAATGCTAAGCTTGGTGGCATGCACCTGTAGTCCCAGCTACCCGGGAGGCTGAGGTGAGAGGATCACTGAGGCCCTTGAAGTCTAAGCTGCAGTGAGCAGTGATCACACCACTGCACTCCAGCCCGGGCAACAGAGTGAGACCATGTCTTCAAACAAACAAAATATACAAAATGAAAACAAATTAAAAATAAATGATCTTATTTTTTCTCCTTTCCCTTCCTCTCTCCAATCCCTGACTCACTCCCCGATCCTGCAGATGCCTTTGCCTTGAGACTAGTAGGAGGAGGAGACAAGTTATGCTCTGGGCGACTGGAGGTGCTGCACAAGGGTGTGTGGGGCTCCGTCTGTGACGATGGTTGGGGAGAAAAGGAGGACCAGGTGGTATGCAAGCAACTGGGCTGTGGGCAGTCCCTCTGTCCCTCCTTCAAAGACCGGAAAAGCCATGGCCCTGGGGTCGGCCGCATCTGGCTGGATGATGTGCATTGCTCAGGAGAGGAGCAGTCCCTGGAGCAGTGCCAGCACAGATTTTGGGGGTATCACGACTGCACCCACCAGGAAGATGTGGCTGTCATCTGCTCAGGTAAGTCCTACAGATGGAGTTCATGAGGGCTGGCGAGGAGGATGACAAAGGAAGAGGAAATGATGGGGGTGTAGTCTGGGGAAAAGGGAATTTCCACAAGCTCCACGAAGCTGCTCATTGTCATCACCTGCTCTGTAAGTACTTCCAGGCATATGGCGGGAAGTCCAGGCCGTGTGGCAGGTTTCATTCCTGGGGTCAGTGGGTAGAGGTAGGGCTGACCTCTATACAGATATTGATTGTGAGAATATACAGGTATCGAATGTAAAAACAAGAGGTTTTCTTCTTCTTTTTTTCTATAGCAGAGCAGTGTCCTATAATCCTAGACCTTTTATGACACTTAAAAAATGATGTTTCATCCTCTGATTGCCCCAATACAAATCTTTGTTTTCCATCCCTATACAAAAATTATTTGAGCAACGTCTTTATATTAAACATAAAGTGAGAGTTGGAGAAAACAAGCAACTTTTCAAAATCATTAAAATTGCTTTCAAATCATATAGCAGAACCGTCTTTCCTCTCAACCCAAGGTGATTATCTTAGAAACAACCTTGAAACTCTAAGTTTAATCTATGAAAGATGGTTCTACCTCATTTGTCATCACTCCCAGATTTTAAATTAGTCTGTGACAGTGGGACTATGGTAGGGAGCTCTCTGAGAATGTCCATCAGAGAGTCTCATCAGAGAGACCACAATAGCTGCCCTGAACTGTAGACCTCTTCAGGGATTGAAGGGAGAAGGAAAAAGCCCTGTCCCAGTTTGGGTTAGAAATGCAAGTGTAGCCCTTGGGTGACTGACTCAAAAGAACCACGGGTTTGAAGCCCAGCTGCGCAATCAGCGTGGGGCTACCTGATTAAACCACTAACTTTGGAATTAGGTAAGAACTGATAGTTGACCAAGGAATGTGGGGAGCAGTTAGTGCCCAGAAAAGAATAAATTCAGCTGCAGGAGGCTAGGGTTTGAACCCTGCTGCTGCTACTTCGAAGCTGTGTCACGTTCATCACCTAACTCCTCTGACCCTAGGTGTTCTCATGGGTGAAATGGAAAGACACTTGCCTGATTTACCTCAAAGGCTTTGTGACTGTGTGAGAATAAGATATGTTAGTATCTGTCAGTACTGTTTGTGACTCACATGCAGCTAGATGAGTAAGGCCCTGGGTTACTGCACCCGGTTCTGGCCTGGCTCACACCAGTGTGGGATCTGTGCATAGCTTAGCTCTTTTTCCTATGTTGGGCTCCAGTCTTCTTCTTTAGCTGATGTGCGTTTCAATTGAATAATTCCTTCCTGGCCTATACCTATCCTTACTGCTTTTTCCTCTTCTCTTTCCAGAATAGTATCCTGGCGTTCTCCATGCTTGACCTGGCCCCACTGGTCCTGCCTGCCCCCTGCTTGTTCTCCTGGGCCCTGATTATTCTCGTCCTCATGCTGGGCCTAAGGCTTGAGCCACTACTCCCTCATCCACTCAGGATTCTGAACACTGGGCTTATGCCTTGCTCTCAGTGACAAACATCCCCCGTTGCTGCCTGTGGATGTGAGCTGTTGAGTTACTCTTGCTGGGGAAATGAGCTTCCAGGTATCCTGAGCTCACCCCTGACCCTTTGGCATTGGTTCTGGCCTCTCCAGCCTCTTCCCAAGCTGCTTGGAATCCTCAGGCCTGTCACTTTGACCGGAAGTACAGATCATTACTGAGGCAAGGTCTGTGTCTGTAACCAACATGTGAGGAATGAAACAATGAGAGGAACATTTGAAAGGAAATGTGATGGCCGGTCGCGGTGGCTCAAGCCTGTAATCCCAGCACTTTGGGAGGCTGAGGCGGGTGGATCACGAGGTCAAGAGATCGAGACCATCCTGGTCAACATGGTGAAACCCCGTCTCTACTAAAAGTACAGAAAATTAGCTGGGCATGGTGGCGCGTGCCTGTAATCCCAGCTACTCGGGAGGCTGAGGCAGGAGAATTGCCTGAACCCAGGAGGCGGAGGTTGCGGTGAGCCGAGATGGCGCCATTGCACTCCAGCCTGGGTAACAAGAGCAAAACTCGGTCTTGAAAAAAATAAAAAAGAAAGGAAATGTGGGTAGACAATTTCCTGAAACTTGGGGGAAAGCTTAGAATCATTTTGATTGAACTTCTTTTTTTTTTTTTTCTTCAGGCTTAAGGTAATCACAACAGTAACACTGAACTATTCTGCTGTTTCTTTGTGTAGGTAGACTATTCTTTCAGGAGCAGAGGAGTGTCCTATAATCCTAGACCTTTGCATGACACTTACAAAATGATGTTTCATCCTCTGATTGCCCCAGTACAAATTTGTGTTTTTCATCCCTATACAACATGCTCACATGGTTGACATTTAACAAGAGGAATGTCAAAAAGACACTTTATTCCAAGAAATATATATTGGTTACTGGGAAAAGGTCAAGCAAGAGGCAGAGAGAGGTCAGGGAGGGCTAAAGGTGTGTCTTATGCCAAGAAGAAAACATCGTTTTCACTTTCTCAGCTGAGACTTTGGGGCCTGTAAGCCTGAGGCAAGACGGAATAATACTAAAGAGAGAATCAAGATTTGATTGTAAAAATTGACTTTAGACTCTGAATCTAGGCTGAGTACTCATCATATGGCTACATTTACACATTTACACTTGCCAAATAAATCAGATTTCACAGTCTGGACAGTTGTGATATGTTCTTTCTGTCCACGGAGAAGCAGCTGTGTCAGATTCTCTGCGGCAGTCTCTTAAACAGGGTTAGGTAGCAGAGACCCCTCCGGCAAGCACATTAGGTTCAGGGCATGCTTGTCATGTTTACTCTGCATTGTTCAGATACGAAATGTGAGACAGGTTGCCTACAGAAAGATCTGGACTCTTGAATACTGGCTATGGGATCCCATGACTTGTAATGACACTGAAGTGTGTTTCTGCATCCTAACCCACTGTTCCATTGTAGCTCAATTTGTTTAATAAATATTTAAAAGCTAGTAGGGGAAAATAGGTAGAGAAACCTAGCTTCAGAAAAGGCAAGAAAATGCTTTACCACATGGATCAGAGAACAAGAAGAAGCCCTTCTGCAGAGATAGATGAGTAAGAATGAAATAGATGCTCAGAGGGGACACAGATGAGACACACAGAAACCCCGCAGAGTAATTTTGGTTTCTCATTCTTGTCTATTTCTGGGGTCAAATGGCATTCCCAGCCCTGGGTTCTCTGAAAAACTGCTGTATTATACCTAATAATTTTTTTGAAGTTATTGATTGACTTATGTTGGGTTTTATACTTCCAACCAAAAGCACCCCAACCAATTTACTTATTTTAAATTCATAAAATGGGAATTCATTCATCTTTTGTAAGGCTGACTAGCTAAATCCAGTTATTACTAACGAATAGAGTCTCACTGCGTTTATAAAATCAAGTTTATGGATCTGAAAAGATAAGGACCAGGGCCTATAAATAGAGGTATTACTCCAAGGTATTACTTTTGAGTGGCCCTGGTTGTATAAATGCCCTATCAACTTCTTTTACACAGGTGACATTTAAAACTCTTGGCCTCCACATTAAAACACAGATAACTAAGGTCCAGTGAAAGTGGGTTAGAGACGACAGGCACATCGAACTGAACGCTGTCCATGTTTCCGGTTTCCCCTGTTGGAAAGGCTCTCAACTTTGCTACCTAGTGAAATTTTAATTGTTTCTCTTTTAATTATTCTCAGTGTCTCAATTCTGTCTTAAAATGCAATTTAAATCAGGTCATAACCCTGCCAAAGGGCCTCTGAGAGCTTCTCATTGCACATGAGTTAAATGTTAACTTCTTCCTTTGACTTAAATGCCTGTTCACGATCTGGCCCCGCCTACTCCTCCAGCCTTATCTCCCGCTACCCTCATCCTCTAACAGCTCATTCTTGCCTAAAACACATCACATTTACTAAACCGTGGTGAAGTCTTCCAGAGGACGAGGTTTTTGGGAAGGGAGCTATCAGAAGCTCTGTTTAGACGTGTTAAGTCAGATGCCTATTAGATCTTCCTGTGGAGATAATGAGTAAAAGTTTAGAGGAGTGGTCTGGGCTTGGACACATCATCTGGGAAATCACTGGGCATACATGATATTCAGTCCCTTAGATCAGAGGACTTCAGACCCAAGAAAATGAATGAGACAGAAAAGGAGAAGAGATCCAAGAACAGAGTCTCAGAGAACCAGTATTTAATCCAACATTTAGTGTGGATTCCCCTGAACCAAGGACTTAGGTGCAGATTTTTTATTAGGTAATAATTTTAGGAAACACTTATGAGAGACTGAGGAAAGTTAGCAGGAAAGATATAAAACCCAGTAAAGTGATCATTAAAGAGTTGGTTAGGGCAACTGAGTCTCCATCTCCCTGGGGGTCTTCTGAATATTATTTCAAAATATTCTCACCAAGGAATGAGTAAGCTGAAGGATTTATCTACCGAATTCCATATCCCATTGATTTAGAGTTGTTCCTCTTGGTGTTAAGCCTTGTGTATGGGCTAGTGAGCTCCTGAGTACCAGTAAAAATTAGAGGTAAAAAAGCCAAGACATGTGGGCGCTTGAGGGGGGAAGCTGTCAGCAGGCATAAGATCTGTCCACCACAGGTGTGGAAGACAGTGAGGTAGAATATCTGTGAAACCAAATGAAGAAAGTGTTTCAAGAAGGAGATAGGTATTGACTGTGCTGATGGGCCAAATAAGATGAACTGACTATTGGGCTTGACACCATGGAGTCTACCCTTCCTAGAGGCACCCTAGAGATGATCCCCTCTGAGGTTCCACTGTCTTCCTGGGGCATTGCAAGGACATGAGATGCAAGTTGTTACCTCACGCAGAATCCAGAACCACTCTATTCCCTGGTCTTGTAGAATTTATCACCTTCGAAAGAATGTTGATCTTGGATCCAAGATGGCCGACCACTAACAGCTCAGGATTGTAGCTCCCAGTGAAAGCTCAGAGAACGAGACGACGCCACATCTTTAGACGAATTTTCATCACTCACCGATTAGCCGATTCCCAGTGGAGGAGCCCCACGGGTCGCCAGCGCGACTCTTGTGGCCACCGCAGCAGTTTTGCCAGCGTCTTGTCGCAGCAGCTCTTCACGCAGAGCCAACGGGACTGCTTCCCCTACTGACCGGAGTTTGGAGCTCCAGGAAGTCAGAGCCACTTGTTGCAGACTCAAGAGGGAAGCCAGACCAGAGTTTCCCGGGCAGAAGAGCACCATCAGTCTTATCGCTGCTATTTAGGCTGCCACAGTGGGTTGCTCAGATCCCAGCACTGGGAATCAATAAGTCTGAAGTCGACTCAGAAACCTAATTAGAAAGGCGGTTCATCTACAATGAAGGGAAAAAAAGAGCCTAAGAAGGCTGAGTATACTCAAAATCAGAACCCATCAGCAACGGAACAAGCCCTGTTGGAAAAGGACTCATCAGCAACCGAACAAGCCCTGATGGAAAAGGACTCATCAGTAACGGAGCAAGCCCTGATGGAAAAGGACTGTGTTCCATTATCTGAAGTAGGCTTTAAAAGGTGGATGATAAGAAACTTCTGGGAGTTAAAGGAACTTGTTCTAACCCAATGTAAAGAAACTAAGAACTTGGAAAAAAGGTTAGATGAAATGTTGAAAAGAATAGACAATATAGAGAGGAATACAAATGAACTTATGGAGTTGAAAAATACAACACGAGAACTTAGTGAAATATGTACAAGCTTAAACAGCCGAATGGATCAAGCAGAAGAAAGGGTATCAGAGGTCGAAGACCAACTTAATGAAACAAAACGACAAGACAAGAATAGAGAAAAAAGGATAAAAAGGAATGAGCAAAGTTTCCAAGCAATATGGGACTATGTGAAAAGACCTAATATACGCTTGATTGGTGTACCTGAATGTGACGGAGAGAATGAATTCAAGCTGGAAAATACTCTCCAGGACATTATCCAGGAAAATTTTCCTAATTTAGCAAAGCAGGACACTATTCAACCCCAGGCAATACAGAGAACACCACAAAGATATTCCTCAAGAACACCAACCCCAAGGCACATAATCGTTAGATTCACCAAGATCAAAATGAAGGAGAAAATATTAAGGGCAGCCAGAGAGAAAGATCAAGTTACCCATAAAGGCAAGCCTATTAGGCTTACAGCAGATCTCTCAAAGGAAACCCTACAAGCTAGAAGAGAGTGGGAGCCAATATTCAATATACTTAATCAACAGAACTTTCAGCCCAGAATTTCATATCCTGCCAATTTAAGCTTTACATTTGAAGGAAAAATAAAATCTTTTAGGAACAAGCAAGTACTCAGAGATTTTATTACCACCAGGCCTGCTTTACAAGAACTTCTAAAAGAAGCATTATACACAGAAAGGAACAACCAGTATGACCCTTTCTAAAAATACACCAAAAAGTAAAGAGCATTAACATAAAGAAGAATTTTTATCAACGAAAGGACAAAATAGCCAGTTAATATCAAATGGCAGCAACCCTAAATTTAAATCGACCAAATCTCCCAATCAAAAGATACAGACAAAATCCAACGGTATATCCAAAGATATACATAGACTCAAAATAAAGGGTTGGAAAAAAAAAAAAAAAAAAACGTACCAACCAAATGGAGAGCAAAAATAAATAAATAAGAAGCAGGAGTTGCAATTTTCACATTTGACAAAATAGATTTCAAAGCTACAAGGATACAAGGGTAAAAGGATTAATGTAATAATAAGGGATCTTAACACCCAGATACATAAGACCCATAATGAGATTTAGATTCAACGAGACAGAAAATTGATAACGATATCCGGGACTGGAACTAAGATCCAGAACAAACAAACTCAATAGAGCTCTCCATTTTAAACACACAAAATATACATTATCCACAAAATCTAACGATATATCTAAAGATATACAAAGACTCAAAACAAGGGGATGGAAAAAAACTCACCAACCAAATGGAGAGCAAAAATAAATAAATAAAAAGGAGGAGTTGTAATTCTCACACTTAATAAAATAGATTAAAAAAAAAAGAATTTATCACCTTCTCCTCCACTTACTCCTCATTTCTTCCCTTCCTCCATCAAAGGTTATTTTGAGTTATACTGTGTAATGGTTGAGGCAGAAGCCAAATATGAATGTTCATCTGGGTTCTAGAAGAAAATGGAACATGAGGAAGAGCTAATAAAGTTGCAATGATAATAAACTGGAAGTGATAAAAACACTTTTAACTACTCTACTATGGGAATTTGCAACTAAGTTACTACTGCCTCTGGATCCCCACCTTATGCTGCCTGCCTGAATACCTCTGGTTGGGCTCTGTCTTGGTTATTTTTCTCCTCCTTAACACTTTCCCTGAAACTACCTGTGATGGTTAATTCTATATGTTCATTTCACTGAGTTATGGAGTGTTCATACATTTGGTTAAACATTATTTCTGTGTGTCTGTGAAGGTGTTTGTAGATGAGTTAGCATTTGTATCAGTAGACTGAGTAAAGCAGGTTGCATTCCCCAGTGTCAGTGGGCATCATCTCATCGGCTGAGTGCCTGAATAGAAGAAAAAGACAGAAGAAGGGAACATTTACTGTCTACATGATTGCTTGAGATGAACATTGATCTTCTTCTGACCTTGGACCGAGACTTAAACCTGGTACATCTGATTCTCAGGCCTTCATACTTGAATCAAAA